CCTGTGCACACCTCCGTCAGCTCCCAGGCTCCGGCAGCCATCCCCGTATCCACCCCCAAACAGCTCAGATGCCCGACAGGGGTGGGGAGGGGGCCCTGTTCCCACCCAGCCCCTGGGGATGTTCTCTGTACTGATCCCTGACTCTGCTGCTCTCCCTAGTGTCTCGCCTGCACTGCGAGAGTGAGTCCTTCAAGATGGATCTCATCCTGGACGTGAACATCCAAATCTACCCGGTGGACCTCGGTAAGCCATCAGGCTGGTAGTCCAGAGAGGGTCAACGCTGTCAGCTTTGGTGGGATAGGCTGGAGAGGCACTCTGAGGATGGAGCCTGAATTTGCTGTGAACAAGAAATGAGTTGTCCCAGACTTCCTTGGACCCCTGTGCTGTCCCAGGTCACAGGAGCTTCTGGGCGCTTCCGATGTGCTGGGGCTGAGCTGGGTTCTGGTTCACCTGTGTGCATTTAGACTCACCTCTGTCCCATTCCCCAGAGATGTCTGGGGAAAATGTCTCACTTGCTGATGCCAAGCTTTAAGGGAGGCCTGAAATTAACTTTTGCAGCTAGATAGACTAAATGGGTGAAAAAGAGAATTTGCCCTCAGTGAGGCACAGAAGAGCTGGAACTGGTGCTGCAGGGGTCATGGTTCTGCCCAGGGTCCAGCCAAGTTCTCTGGGACTCTCCCTGTGAATATCTTGCCGTGTCCCACAAAAACACCAGAAGTGGTGTCCTGGTGGCTCTGGTCTCCTCCATGATGTGGGAAATAGGGGAGCACAGGATTCAGTGTGACCTTTCACTCGTTCCCCACAGTCCTGGTGGAGGACTGGCAGCAGGGGCAGGGCTTTTATATCACAAGTAAAACACCTACCAGGGTGGCTGTTTACCACCACCCTGAGTTCTGGCTGTGGCTGCTGCTGCTCTGGCTGTGCCTCCGCCTTCTCACCTCTCCTCTGCCCTCTTCCCAGGGGACAAATTCCGCCTGGTCATCGCCAGCACATTGTATGAGGACGGCACCCTGGATGACGGCGAGTACAACCCCACAGATGACCGGCCGTCCAGGTACAGGGCCCAGCTGGGACCCACGTGAGCATGGGCGGGGGAAAAGGGGGAGTGCTGAGATTGGGTGTCTCAGGCTGGACATCAGGAGGAATTTCTTCACAGAAAGGGTGATTAAACATTGGAACAGGCTGCCCAGGGAGATGGTGAAGTCACTGTCCCTGGAGGTGTTTAGGAAAAGACTGGGCATGGCAATGAGTGCCATAGTCTAACTGACATGGTGGTGATCGGTCAATGATGATCTCAAAGAACTTTTCCAACCTGATTGATTCTGTGACTGTGAGATACCTTCTCCCAGAAGACACTGAGCTGGGGGCCTGCCCAGGTTTGATCCCTTGGTGACCTCATGCTGTGCTGTTGCAGGGCAGACCAGTTTGAGTACGTGATGTACGGCAAGGTGTACCGGATTGAAGGGGACGAGACTTCCACAGAGGCGGCCACACGCCTGTGAGTGCCCCGGGGTGGTGTGGGGGGCACTGGGATCTCAGCTTGGGTCTCCCATGGGATTCCCTGTTCTCATATCTCTTCTCCTCCTGTCCCAGCTCTGCCTATGTGTCCTATGGGGGGCTGCTTATGCGGCTGCAGGGAGACGCAAACAACCTGCACGGGTTTGAGGTGGACTCTCGCGTTTACCTGCTGATGAAGAAGTTGGCCTTCTAGCACACCTCCATGACTGACCCACAGACATCCTGCTGGCAAGCAAACAGGAGACCCGAGACCCCAAATTCTGCCACAGCATCCATGCTTCCTGGCCTCTCTGGGGCTGGGGAGGAAGGAGCAGTCCCCCTCTTCATCCCAGCCTCTTCTGACTCCTGCTGGGATCCACAGCTCCATTTGGAAGGAGAGAGGTGCCTGACGTCCAAGTGGAGACAGTGCCGTGTACTCCGGTCCTGCCTGATGGCATCTCCTCACCTCCACCTTCCTGTGCTCAACAGTAGGCTCAGCCCTGGCTCTGGCCAGGGGCAACCAGACTGGAACAGCTGCCTGCCTGCCGAGGGCCTGGGGACCATTCCCTCAGGAGCCATCCCAAGGCAGGCTGACTTGGTTTTGATTAAACTGGGATGTTTTCTACTCCTGGCTCTGCTTGCTGAGAGATGAGGCTGGTAGGGAGTGGATACATCTGCACAGGGCACAAAGGGGGTCTCTGCCACTTCCGAAAGGATGAGGAGTCCACACCTGCCCTGGGCTCTTCTCCACCTGCCACCACTCCAGGTACAGATTGTGCTAGGGCAGGTGGGTGCCAGGGGTGAGGAGTGGCAGCTCAGGCCCTGTGCGGGGCAGGGCCGGGCGTCCGTGCAGTGCTGGTGGCTGCCACGGGAGGGAGCAGAAGCTGGGAGCATGTCCCAGAGGGGCTGCTCCTGCCCCGGGCCCGGCGAGGACACACACAACCCTTTAGAAAAATAGCTCTTTAATCGAAAAGCATTCACAGTAGAGGTGCCTGCCCAGGTGGGAGCAGGGCCTGTGCCCGCCAGCACGTGGGTGTCGCTCTTTGCCTTTGTGGGTTGCATGGTCTCCGAAGACTTGAGGAACAGGAGCCAACCCTTTCCTTGTGGGCATCTTCCTGGGCACCCAGAGCACAGCTCAGTGTCCAGCAGGACTTCTCCAAAGTCACATTGGGGTGAACCCTGTGTGCAGCTTCACCGGGCCCCGCACGGAGGGTCTCTGCTGCCCCCCTGTGCTTGCTTGCACAAGACCTTGGCCAGGTCGTGGAAGAAGAAGCGCAGCTTGCCCTGCACCAGCTGCCGGTAGGTGAGGAAGACACTGGTGATGTGGGTCTGCTCCATGGAGTGTGGGGAGCAGCTCAGCTCCCAGTGTCCTGCCTGAGGGGCGAGAGCAGGACAGAGGGGTGACAAACATCATTGTACCCCACCCAGCCGAGCTGGCACCTGCGCCATGGTGGACTGGCTCATGTGGGAAGGTATTACCTCCCAGCTGAAGGTCTGCAGGAGCAGGAAGAAGGAGTTGGCATGTTGGTAAAGGTGGCTCAGCTGCCTGGCCCCGCACTCCTCGCTCACCTGGCCCAGGGCCCCTGTGGCAGCACCCACCAGCAGGGCCAGGTCACACAGGATCTCCCGCCGCTTTGTCTCGTTCTGGGGGAGCAAATAATGAGTGGCCTGACCCATTCCTGTGCCCACCCTAGGTCTGAATGGGGTCTTCTACCCCCCCATGCCACCAGATATGCCTACAGGCATCTTGCTCAGCATTTCTGGTGCTTGTGCCAACCCAAGGTGCCTTCTCCGGTCCAGCGGGCATGTCAGTGCCAGCACCCTCATCCCAGCCCCTCTCACCGATTTGGATTTCCACTGTTGGAGGCTGAAGTCCACCAAGGGCAGCACCACAGGGCAGCTGAGCACAGGCAGGGCCTGGCACTGGCCCTATTGGGGAGAGGAGATGTTGAGGAGCTGTGCATGTTCCTTGGGTTTTGGGGGGGATTGTATGCTCACCACTCTCTTCTCCATGTCTTTGGCCTCCAGGATGTACTTCTGGATGAGCCTGTTGTCACAGACCAGCCGTGTTGGGCTGGCATGGTCTTCTTTCACGTGCAGGAGGAAGGATGTGAGGAGGAGCAGTCCTGGGGAAGATGGGGTTACCTTGGGCACTGTGCTACCCTCCCTGGGCAGTACCAGCCCAGGGCCTGCAGTGGCAAGCCCTCTCTGCATCCCAGTGGTAGCCTCTATGACCCTGTGGTGGGAGTGCAGGGAGAGGTTTGGGGGCTGAGGAGGGCCTGGTACTGCCCTCTGGTCAGTCAGCACGGGTGCCCACTGCTCACTGGGGAGAGCTGGGCTTTGTGTGCCAGTGGTGAGTGCCGAGGGGCCCCACAGCCATGTCTGTGCCAGGTTTTTTGGCCCTGCTCCAGGCAAAGGAGTGGAGCTCCACTCCCTGTCCAGACTAGGGCCAGCCCTCCAGATCTATGCCAAGAGCAGCTCTGGGTGTCACGTGCACTTCGGGGAATCCCGGCCTGCAATGTCCCACAGGGAACATCTGGTCCTTGCTGCTGCCCTGGCTGAGTGCTCTCCTGCCAGCACTGCCTCCCCCAGTGCTGCTGTGCCCAGGGACTGCCCATCCTGGAAAGAGGCATCTCCTCTCCACAGGCCCTCCATACGTCCTCCTGCCTCGCTGCCTGCCCTGACACTGCACCTGTCCCCAAAAGCCCTCGACGCAGCCTGTTTGCCTAGGATGGGCATGGAGAGATGCTTGGCTGCCCTCGCACGCTGGTGGTGGCCAGGTCCAACCAGTCCAAAGCCACCCTTAGGGTTTGGTGCCCACCTGTGGGGCTCATCACGCGGGGCACACTCTGGCTCTGGGGCCGCAGCCTCCACTGTCCCTTCCTGCGCGCTCCCGTCCCCCCTTTCAGCCGCGCACTCACTGTTCAGCTCCATGCTCAGCTGGGGGCTTCGGCCCTGCATCTTCCGCCCT